AAAACGGGAAATCTGCAATGACGTTGGTTTGCCCTGGAATCAGTGTTTACGCGGGGATTACTGTTTCTGATGTGTAAATATCCCGCTGATGTGAAATCTTCCCAAGGCCAGCGTCCGCAGTAGATGAGGTGTATTCTCACCGCGTGATGTGTGTTAACCCCGGGACAAGTAATCCCTGTATATTCCCAGGATCCAGACAGGGCACCATCCTTTTGAGAAGTCCCTCGTTGACAAAGGTCAAGACGCGTCCAAGGCCCGCGGCATCATGGAGGTTATGGAGCGAACCCACCAGGAGCAAATAGATTTTGAGGTATAACATGTTAGATGTAATTCGTGGAGAGTCACATGGAAAAGAAAGTGGACTGTGAAGTGGAGAACTGGATGCCGTAGGGGTTTCGGATTCGGGGCGGGTCGAGCTATTTGTGGAAACCATCGTATGTATATGAGCGCACTCTCCATGAGAGAGTAAAGTTTCGGCGCCTTAGGGTTATGTGATTTGGGGTTGGTCCCCGAAATCTATGTAAACCCTTAAGCACTCCCGTCTACTCACACAGTTTAGGGTTTTAGATTGATTATGTAATTCAATCCCATTGCAGCCGCCTTGTTTGCCCGGCCGTTGAAAATGCAAGGAGATTACCCAAGATTTGGTGCGACTGGCAGGCTGGACACTCCGCTGGGAATGAAGCGAATAAGGTTTAGGAAGGAGTGTTTGTATAAGCCCTAGCCTCGAGACCCTTAACCCTTAAGGGTTCAGGTTCAAGGCCTAGGGCAGGGATGTGGGCTAGGGCTTGGGTTTCAGAATGTAGGTCCAGCGTAGAGGAATGGAACATGAGTACTCCCGTGTTTCGTCGATATACCCTTTCAACTATGTGTCATAGAAGAGTATTCTAGGAGTTTAGAGTATAGCTCATGCAATAAATCCAAACAAGGCAGCAACAGAAACCATGAGTCGACGGCCCGTCCTGATATCCAACGCATACGCCACATGCAAGGATTTAGGGCCTAAGCCTGCAACTCCATATATAGGGATATTTAGAGTTATATAGCGTTTGGGGTTCTGGGTTCAGGGTTTAGGGCACCCACGGTGCTTCACAACCCAAGATGGTATAGCCCTTATGCGAAGGACCCCAAGAAGGGACTGACAAGTTTGAGAAGCCCGCTTCGAAGTTCAATGATGAACATCGTAACGCCTGCTAAAAAGCGGACCCATTATCTATAGATCCCCCCATCATCGAAACCTGCAGAACCACAAGGCCTTCTGCAATGCCGCCACAAAACGGACTTCGAAAATGGCGCCCACAAGTTTGACCATAAGCCTAAATCCATAACTCCCAGATCAGCCCTTATCGAAGATTCTACATCCCATATCTAACCCACCCAAAGGGCCCGCTATTTTGAGAAGTCACACATACCTGGGCGCCCTGATAGGCAATGCCCCGCCACCTTCATCAGGCCTGGGAGGGTTCAGGGTTTAGGGTTCTGGGTTTTGGGTGCGTGTAAGCTAGGGTTTACACGACATAGGGCATCCAAGAAGAAGTGGCACCTTTACAGGGGCTGTATAGGGGTTATGTAGGAGGTATCTGGAGACTTGAAAAAAATAGAGATACTACCCCAAATCAAAGGGAAAAGAGAATGGGAAATGAAATGGATGTCTTGAATTTGTATTTCAGAAAAGGAAACTTCCCACATTGTCTTCTGTGGAAATGAGATTGGCTGCGGGACAGTAGCCATGCAGTCGCTCAGAGACATCTTCGGAAACCGCCCTCATTAAGAGCAAAAAAAAACTGCAAAACCTGAAGCCTATAAAAGCTACTGTCAATATTCGGCTTGCAGGGGAACGGTAGGCGTGGATACAGCCCGTCCCTCTGGTAGTTTTGTAGTATAGCCATTAATTTCTATTCCAGAATAGCAGCCCAGGTCCATTCATTATACGGGTGATATTGACTGTAGCTACATATGAGATCAAGGATCCAAGCGTGTAAAGTCTACCTGTGTAGGGGATACATGCAGAGCCCGTGTTTGGGTAATCAGGGGGAACCTTCAGTGGTACCTCCCGGGAGCCTTGTTCAGGGTTTGGCGGTTTTGGGCGGTTTTGCAGGCCCCCGCATGCGCGGCAGCCGAGGAGCCTGCTTCGTAGTGAAAGATGAAGAAGAAGCAGACGAAGAAGTGGTAGTAGTACTGGTACATTCCGAAAGCTTCGTGATGACTGTATTGACAGTAGTGGCGCGATAGCGCGACTGACTGACAGTGGCGTGGATGGTTTCAGCGTCATCTGAATACCAGCATCAGAGCGCACACGCATATAATAGCGACAGCCTTTCGTGGTAAGAAGCGTGGCAATGCGAAAAAAAGCGAAGCGTAGCGAGCAGCAGCACTCCACGTTGTCGATGCCACTGTGGTTGCAGTTGAAGTACGTTTTAGTCCGCGTGATGCAGTCAGGAGGAGGTGGTGGCCGAGGCAGCAGGCGAAGTCCAAGCTTCTGAGCAACGCTTCGCAGAATCCAAGGTGATCTTCTGGGCTTTTCTTGCGGCAAAGAAGCTGCACCCCAATGAAGCCTGTCATTTTCTTCCAGTCTGTTGGTGAAGATAACTGTCATGTTATGCAATTGTCTTACAACACGCACTTCACTTTCTTGTAAGGAGCCCTGAAAAGATCACCCTGGCAGAATCGCTTGCTCGCATCAAGAGCTTGGAAAATGCGGGAATCCGCGCTCGTCCTATCGCAACACACGCGAGGTACAGGGACCATAGGAGGCTCCCAACCAGGAATTCGTGTCGAATGTTGCTGTTCTCATGTTGCTTAAGCATAGGATCTCAAGCTTTGCCTTTCGACTGCTGCTGTGAATGTTTCGGGGGTTCGGGGAGGGGGTCGGTTGTGCAAGCCTTTAAAAACTTGAGCCAAGCAGCCACACAGTCGTCAAGGTCATGCCGGCTAGGTACTTTTCTCAGCTCAAAGAGGTGAAAGATATAAATGGTTTAGAGTTTAGGGTTTGGGATTTAGCGTTTAGGGTTTAGGATAATGGATAATCAAATGGAACAGCAAATAGACAATTCAATAGAAATAAGTGGGGTTCGTAGGTACATGTGTGGTTTTCGATTAAATTGCTGGTTGTGAGTAAGTTATCGAGACCTGGCTTTAAGCAACAGACGCACCCCCCACCCCCAAAACTGAAACCCCAGCTCCATATAGTACCATTACATGACCCTAAACGCTAAATAGTAGTTTCCACTTTATTTTCCATTTCAATATAACCCTAATAGAACCGCAGAACCCCCAAAATAACCCCAATATAACCCCAATATAACCCCAATATGCCTAAACCCTTATCCTTGACCTTTCTCACTGCAATGGCAAAGTCTGGCTCGCAGCCAGATTTCATCCTGCTTGGCGCCACTGGATTCTGGGTCTCTTAAGGAACTTAAGTTGAGTTATCATTTTATGGACACATAGGGCTTAGGATTAAGGGTGTTGGGTTTAAGTTGCCATGTTATGGGTATGTAATGAATAAAAGGGTGTCCTTCATTTAGAAACTTATGTCAAGCTTTTTAACGGCAAACCAGGATTTCTGGGCGCCAGCATTCTTCGGAAACTGGAAACGGAGCATACCGTGTGCTGCAGCAGGCTAAGGCTGAAAGATCGGCTAGGCCTGGAGGCAGGACGTGCATCAAGAAGTCATAAAATCAAGCAGTCACCCAGATCTAGGGTACCTTATCGGGGGTCCCTATAATAAGGGACTTATTTCTGGGTCATACTAGGGTTCCCCAAAATCTACCATTAGCATGACAGATCCGCGAACCACCCAAAACCGTAGGGCCATCAAACCACAACAGCTCCTTAGCTAGAAGGGGAAGCTCCAGATCCCTTCCTTTGCCTCATGACTCATGTTGGCAGCGACAAAGGAATCCATATAGTGACTGCTATACTATCCCCAACCAAAACCTCTGTAAGCTCCACATACTAAGAACAAAGTTCCTTGAGGCTTTGCTGGACGAGCAGAAGCCCAAGTTGGGCGTCATTTGTGCCGCAGGCGGGCTTTAGTAGCAGTAGTGCTACTGCAGCTACGACGACGACCTCGACGACCTCGACGACGACTGCTAGTAGTACTAGTAGTACTAGTACTGTCACCACTACTTATGCTACGGCTCTTGCTAGTCTATTTAACATTTTACTTGTTCACATATTGTTTGCAACTATCCAGCTATCTATATGTTCTTAAGACAGTCACCTGCACATATGTATATGACGACAGTCGAAGATTTTGCTGCAATATGCCGCAGCGCCGTAGTGTACTTAGTTAGGCCTAACTATCCCCTCTGACGACCTGTATAGTCACATCAATGAACTGCACTGCCATTCATCCTTACTGTAATTTCTTAAGCCGTGACAGTCCTCAATTTTTTGAACAAGCCCCTGCAAACCTTCGTGAGCCGTACAACTCATGAACCGCACTTGTAACTCGGGCCCCATTCCTAGGCGAGCGCGGCCGTCCCAACATCGCATGGTGCGATGCGCATCCCGTGGAGACTCTAGATTGGCTTTGGAGCCAAGGGCATAGGGATTTCTCGGAGTTGTGACTGTGATCGTTTTAGGGGGCCGGGGCATATATGACAGGATGGCGGTATTGCCTTCCAAAGAGGGATTTGGTAGCATTTCTGCTGCTGTATGAAAACTTCATTATGAAGAAGGGAAATGTGAAACCCAATTGTGCACAGCGCTGCTGAAAAATCCTCGATTTCATCAAGCCGAATAGCCGTGTCGAAACGCACTAGCTCTGCAAAACAGGCAAAGAAATTGGAAGTGGGACTGAATGTCTGGTGCAAGAACAACCCTAGGACTGTGGATGCCAACATCACTGGCCAGCTTTCGGTAGCGGCCGCCTGCCACGAAAGAGGATTGCATTGTATCCTCTTGGGCACTGGAGCCCTGTATCTGGCAGATGGGAAGCGCAACTATGCTGTGCTTTGGGGTTTTCCGTATGAAAAGAAGCACGATGGATGAAAACTATAAGCTCCGCACCCTAATCTGTTAAGTTTAAACTGTATAAAGGGTTAAGACTGAGAACTGTATTGTCCTTAAGGTGCCCAAAAACACCTGAAAAGGGACTAATACGAAGCGTGGTTTTAATGCCTTGGGAGAAGGACAGAGCGTGGGCTCCAGCAACAGCTCTTTTGAATGCAGGGCGATCAGACTCAAGAAAATCAACATCGAAATCCCAATGACCACACACGAAAGCGATACATCATATTCGCAGTACAGTGGTATGGAAGACGCAGAAACCTAATACTGTAGAGTAATAAAATAGTAGTATGTGAGATAGTGATACAGGTGATGCAGTTATAATCCCCCTTAAGTAGATAGAATTATGGCTTTGGGTATGTTATAATAAGGTCCCCATATACCCCATATTCTATCTACTTAAGGGGGACTATACATAGTAACACGCCATCTGCTGAATGAGAGCGCAGCCCAGGCAAGTTCTCTGAGCTCGATCCTCCGAATGGAGGCTCCCCAGGTGTCTACACGGCACTCCGCCAGAAGATGGAGGAGCCAACCGTATAATATCCGGAACATATATGGGTGGTTGTCAAAATGATGGTCCCTTTTTGGATCCCTACTATAATGCGGCACCGAATATTTAGGATACCCAAAAAGGGACCATAATTTTGACAACCACCCATATATGTATATGCTCACCCCCCCCCCC